TTTCTTCTCCTACGACTACCTCGGACAGAGCACTCCTGCGTTCGCCTAGAAGTTGGAGCTCCCAGATGAAAGGACTTTCGAGAATCGCACGGCTTCCTGAAGGATGCGAATATGCTCTGCTTAATAATGAAAGGTAGAACAACAAGTGCTCTGAGATATAACGATGTTGCCTCTTTTGGCATTTCGCGCGACGTGATGACGTACTGTAAACGTTGAGAAGATAAACAAACGTAGAAAGATATTATCGGCCGGTGAGTAGTTTATAGTATATACTATGATCTACTTAAAGGGAGAGTAGCCTCTAGGATTTTACTGCATACAACTTGTACTTACGTATAACAAATCGTCTATACCCACATGTAGTTTGTCACGCAGATACTTAAATTACTTATTTAGCACAGTCCAACGCTACGAAATTTGAAACGGCGCCAATGGACAGGGCCCGGAGCGCGTGCTGCCACCCTGAAAAGTTGCGGTATTGCATTTTTATTTTGGGCAGGTAAATGAGCCGAAGGCTAATCAAAAAGTGCAATTATTTTATACCTAAAGTGCTATTTAACCGAACGCCTATTCATTTTAGGAACGATATATCTATACTACCATCAACTATACCAGAAACTCTATGTCGTTTTATCAGGATATCACAATCGCTGTTGCTTTTAAATGAATAAAGTAAGGAAATACCCCGGTCTGTAGGGCGCCTTGCTGGGAAAGTGGTTTTGCGGGCAAACTTCTCCAGATCGTGCGCTTTGAGTGGCGGGCCACCGTCCTTTTTGTAAGTCAAGACTGTAGTCGGTGTAGTTTTAGAAAACAATTTTTTGTGTACATATTTCTAATGGTGATTGAACCATGAAAGACTTTTTATGTAGCGCAATATAACCTAAAGTTGCTGAAAATAACCGCTAAATACCTAGAAGGGCTACTGTTCCTTTAAGATAGGATGTTTGTAATAAGTGCAGTTATGCCCGCATTCACGGAAGGTAGCATAATAACATTGAGATACATGTTAGGGTCTAGCGAAGTTATCCCCGATCGATATTTTATCCCTCTCTTATTATATATTCCTGTACTGCTTAATAATTACTTATATTATATATCACTTATTACTTCCATTATACCATGTCTTTATGTATTATCGATTTACTATTATATTTGTATATTATCAAGAGTCCATAATAGAACATTTTCTGTAAAAATAAATCATAAATGTTCTATTATGGACGCTTGATATTATTATATTAGTTTAGCGATCATATTATACTATATTATGAGCATATCTTTATAGGTTATACATGTGTCTTAAATTCCGCTGCGCCACGCTTTTATGCGTGATGATTTGCAGTTAAACAGAGAAGAAGGTCTTCGGTGTATTCAATCTTTACCAGCTTCGCCGCTCGCTGCGCAGTAACTTGAGTGTCAGCAACAATGCCGGCTATGACCTGACCCTGGCACACAACCTATATACAACAATGGTATCACTAATAATGATGATGATGATGATGATGATGATGATGATGATGATGATGATGATGATGATGATGATGATGAGGATGACGACGACGACGATAATGATGATGCTGCTGCTGCTGATGATGATGATGGTAACAATAACAACAACAACAACAACAACAACAATAATAATAATAATAATAGTAATAATAATAATGAAAATGATATGCAATTATAATTGTAATATATACAGGTAAATTATGTTAAAACACATATATATGCGCACAAACACACACATGCATACGTAAACAGTCGCAACACATTCCGGGACGTATTCTGGATGACTACCATTTGTTGCACAAACCTCTTCAAAGTGTGCGGAGAGGCGGTTGCGAAGAGCCACCACCAGATGCCACCACGTGTCGAACTTGGCATGGGCGATTGCCTCATGCTTCACGGAAGCAATCAGGAAGGGCTGTAACAGCAGCTTTAACCGCTTGTGATTCGCCAATATATCTGAAATCGCCATGGAGATGTGTTAACATCTTCGGAAGCGCAATTATCTAACACACTGACTTAACGAGCGATGACCAATGCTAATTAATGTACACTATAGTGCATTATGTACCCTCCTACACCACCCCGGCCCTAACCGCACACATACTGTGTACACTAATGTACACTATAGTGCATTATGTACCCTCCTACACCACCCCGGCCCACGCCGCACACATACTGTGTACGCTAATGTACACTATAGTGCATTATGTACCCTCCTACCCCACCCCGGCCCACGCCGCACACATACTGTGTACGCTAATGTACACTATAGTGCATTATGTACCCTCCTACACCACCCCAGCCCGCGCCGCACACACGCACTCAGATCGAGTCCGAAGTTGTCGATGAGTCTTGCCCAGGCGCGAAAGGAAGAGGTGCGGACGGCAGGCGCCTTGTGCTTGAAGCCGCTCTCGACGAGACGCAACATACTGCAAGAGAAAAGACAGGGAGTCACAACCGAGGAAACGATATAATAATAACACAACGAGTCTCACGCGTATAACGAGCAATCGACAGACGAGTTGCACAAGAATCGAAGAACAGCAACTCTGCGTAACACGAACTGAAACCGAACGACTACGAACGATCGACTAACAGTCGACGAACGATCGACGAGAAGTCAAGAAAACTTCGACGAACAGAGAACGCTCGTTAGCTCACCGCCGAACAAACGAGACGAGGCGCAACAACATGCTGCGAGAGAAAAAACTGGCGTCAACGTAGCGACACGTCGACCAGCGCGCACGCGAGAGACCGGCGAAAATGAACCGAGGAAAGGACTGTCACGCGTATAATGAACAGCTATCATCGTCGCTACGCGTCCAACAACACACTCGCGAGATGCGATCGGCAGAAACAAGCGAGGATAAGACTGTCACGCGTATAATGAACCGATAGAAGAGTCGTGCAAGAATCAACGAATGTACGGAGAACAGACAAACGGCGGAAACAACATAACATAAACCGAAGCTGAACAACAACGAACAATCGACGAGAAGTCGAGGGAAAATCAACGAACGGAGAATGATCGTTAGCTCACCGCCGAACAGACGATGGACGCGACAAAGAGCAGACGATGCTCCTCCACCCGTCGCCACGGCGACGCGAACCGTTTCGCACCCACCTGTTCACGACACTGGAGCCGTGGTGAATCTTCCTTCCGAGAATCTCCACCAGGAGTCGCCACGTCTTCAGCATGGCAAGTTCCGCTCCGTTGCTACTCGCATTGTTGAAGATCGACATCATCTCCGGACAAATCCTCTGCAAGGTGGAGCCACGAGTGAGGACGCGCGTGACAAGAGAACGTGCTCACAGCTGACGCTATTGAAGGCGGGCCGACACGCCGAATAAATTCTGTCAACACCCGCCTCGCATTCTAACGTAGGGTAAAATGTTTTTAACGTCAAGGGTCACCCGCACGTTGTTGCCATTTCTCGGAATGCTACGTGGTACAAACGTAATGGGATCTTGTAAAGATTGATCACGCACGCACGCAAGCACGCACACACCCACCAACACACCACACACATGTACGCACGCACGCACACACCCACCCACCAACACACCACACACATGCACGCACACACCCACCAACACACCACACACATGTACGCATGCACGCACACACCACACACGAATGCACACGCGCGTGCACACACACACACACACACACACACACACACACACACACAATTACAAACACGTATTATATAGTACGGATACTGGATTCCATCAGTGATTATACGTGTGGTGGATACTCACTCTTACATGGGTCTTTAGTAAGAGTCTATACCACGGCACTTACATTCTTCAGGTCTGGAACAATGATGTCAGCAACTTCATCCTGATGTTTCATCAGTAAGGGCAGGCCTATGCAGAGGGCGTTCTGTGCTCGCTCCCGCACCTTCGGGGCAGGATGGACAATGTGTGGCAGCACCAGTCGCAACCAGCGCTCCCAATGGGTTTCAGCACCGCCTGGTGCCTGCTCCAGCAACCTGTGTTATGAACAATTCTGTTCAGAATGTAATGTAATGATGCATTGTATATAATTACCTCCGCCAGGGGCTTGGCAGGGGTTATGTTTTCACCGGCGTGTGTTTGAGTGTTGGTTTGTGTGTTTGTGGGTTTGTTAACATGCACGTTTCAGTTAACTTGCCGCTAGGTGCGCTGGCTTACAAAGCCAGCAACCAACAGGTAAGGGGCAGACACGTCCTTCCCCCCCTGCCATCGCTCGCCGACTACTAATCCGATCCAATTACATCTAATTTAAGTTAATTTTAATTAATTTTCCACTTAATTAAATTAATTAATAAAAAATTTCACATTGAGAGAATTCAGCTGCCTTGGCGGAGGTCTGTGCTCTCCGAGTGCTCTAGTATTGTTATGCATTCGTGCAATAAATGTAATGTAATCGTGCCTTTTATTTCGTTCTCATTTTCTCTCCCATTCTCTTTGTGCGGCTCTCTCTCTCTCTCGCTCTCTCTCTCTCTCCCTCTCCCCGTCTCCCCCTCTCTCTCTCTCGTATTCCCTCACACATTTTCCTGCGTGCCGTTACAACACACTATACACGGAATGCCAGCAACAATTCACTACCTGATTATCACGTTCAGAGTCTCGTATTCGACGGAAGCTGACTGTGAGCCGTATCCAAGTGCCGTAGCTTCCACCGCCGACATCACCTCGTCAAACTGCCAAGCATAAGACACGAGCGTATTAAAACCTCTATCATCATCATCTATACATATTATTAGCGGGTAAATAATCTCAATACATTACGATTCGTTACTGATATTTTATCTTTCTCTCTTCTCTCTTCTCTATCTCATATCTCGTATCTCTCAGTCTCTATCTCTAATCTCTATTCTATCTCTAGTCTCTATCTACTATCTCTATCTCTATGCTCTCTCTCTAATTCTTCTTGTCCTACTCTATTTCTTCGTATCTCTATCTCTATCTCTATCTCTCTTCCTGGGGTGATCTCTCTGCTCTCTTCTTTATCTCTATCTGCTATTCTCTTATCTCTATCTCGAGTCTTCTATCTCTTACTCTATTCGTATTCTAATCTTCTAGGTGCGCTCTCGCTGGTCTCTCTCTCTCTCTCTCTCTCTCTCTCTCTCTCTCTCTCTCTCTCTCTCTCTCTCTCTCTCTCTCTCTCTCTCTCTCTCTCTCTCTCTCTGTCTCTCCGTCTCTCTCTCTCTCTCTCTCTCTATATATATATATATATATGCTAAAGAAATTCTGCGACACTTGCACATAAAATGGTACATCATCAGAAGATTCTACCCTCTCAATTAGACAAATAGAGCAACACACTAACATTGCTCCCCTTAGCCTACACACATCGTCTTCCCCGACACGCCACCCCACGCAGCTCTCTCTTGCTTACATGTGTCTCTATGACGTGTGTAGGGAGTGCTTGTCGGCTCACACACCACAGCCCGCGCACGGCTACCGTCTTGTCAATAGATGGCGCATGTAGCATCGCACAGACAGCCCTTAGCAGCTGCTCTCCTGCGCCCTCACTCGCTCCCAAGCTGCAATCAGAGATCAGGAATGACATCGTTCTTAGCACATATTTAAAAGCAATTTCATAAAATCAATTGTTTTACATTCCGAAAACAAGTGCCCCATGTTGTCAGCATTTGATATAAAACATTGTTTTTTTCATTTTCTTTCATTTTTCTTGTGGTAGTATTTGCATGTCACTTTGGGCTGCTTTGAAAATTGATTCATAAACCTTGTAAATAATGATCCGGACCATTTGGCATTTGTTTGTGAGTTGGTGAGAATGAAATGAGTTTGATTAGACAAAAAACGTGGTTATTTGACAAAGATGAATTCTGATTACTCTAAAATTAAAAACCTAGAAGTTCCCTCCAAATTTCACATTTATAAGTGATAGCTCAGCTACAACTCACTCTGGTTTTCCAGGCAGTACACTCGGTCCTTGCCAGATCAAGCCAAGCGCCTGAACAGAGAAAGCCAACCCCTCCCGGATGTCTCGGAGTAGAGATGGAACGACCTTGTTGATGTCATTGACACTGCTCACGTTGTGTGTCTTCAGTTCTCTGCAAGTGACGAACGTGGACGTATGAGCATTACATACGAGCTGCATACAAGTGTTAATATAAAAGACTTCATATCAATGTCATTTGACCCAAATTAGTAGGAATAATCTTTCAACAGCTCATCTTAAAGGATATATACCGATTATGAACAGATTAAAGTAAAAGCATGTGGTCCCCCATGATAAACTTACTCTATCAGGAGTGTGTATGCGAAGATTTTCTCCTCTGTGCTGCGTGTGACGTTGTCGTCTGCACACAGCACCTCCCGCCAGTCAGCACCGTGACCAGGCTGCGGTGCTGCCATCGCCAACATCCTCACAGCTTTCCGCTTTGCTCAACACTAGCCGCGTCTAGGTCTTACTTCAAAGTGAAACGATAAGAATTCATTATAGCTAGTGCCTAGTAGTGCTACTGCTACTGTGCTAGTGTTATTACATGGTGGTACAATGTAGAAAGTATCATATGACATATTAGTATAGTCAGGGTGGTATAGGAAAAAATCGGTTTTTAAAGCCGGGGTCCCAAACTAGAATTGGGTATGTTGCCTTAACTCAGTTGGCAACTGGATGGCTGTTAAACTACCAATGCAGACACACAAAAATCAAAACCCAAACACTGTTCAATAGGCCTACTATTACTAGCTAACAAAGGGACCGCATAGTCATACATATTTACACGATTTGAGAACCTCAACAGTATCACAGACAGGCAGTACTCAGTACTACAGTAACAGCTAGAGTAGGAAGAAAGACAGGTACTGTGGCAGTGTCACTTACTAAATTTCAGTACAGTCCTAAGTATTTATTTGATCGCCAGCACAGACTGAAAAAGTGAAAATACCATTGCATTATAGGCATTTAATACCAGTGTTACCACATTCATGCACTCAACGAATCGTGTCAACGAAGAGTAGCTTGATTGTTGCACACGGGATTGCTTGAATACATAGTTGACATTTTAAAACGCATAGATTAAAAATGTACAACGACCAAAAACTTACGAAAACAACGTAGCGAGCTTTCTACATTCCTACATGTAAAATTGCCAACCTCAGCTATGTTGATTTCGCGGGAAATTTCTAGGGCAAGTTCTTCAGCGCCCTCTATCGGCCAACATTAAAAGTTGTTTATTGAGAGCAGCCCACTATTTAATTCTCGATAGGATCCTATATACTTGAAGAATTCGTGTCGAACATTTCAGCCAAAAATACAAAAATAAATTTTTCACATATATACATAATTTTAGTTGATACCCTGAGTAATAAATTGATTAAGTCTATCCAGCATTAGTGAAGCACAAATTGCAGAAAAGTATGTATGCAAAACACCTCCCTGAAAATGTTTGGCTTAAGCGGTGACGGCACGATGATACGTCCTAACCACATTTAATGCATATTCATAACAAAATATAATTCCTCAGGTGAGATATTGAGCATGCGCTAACACACAATAACGTAGCCAGATTGTGTACTGACTGGTAGGGCCTATATGCAACGGGGACCTTACATGCAAGGTCTTCGTTCTATTTCTTAATTGAGGTTTACGGATGGTATGTTATCTTATAAATCTATGCTAGGATACCTGCTCTTCATTTTAAATGCAAAATTTTTGCAAAATATCATTCTTCTCATGAGATATTGTGCATGCGCGAGCACCGTTTCAGGCGATCAGAACGGACCGAAGCAAACTGCATAATATAGCTTGCTGAGTGAGAGAGGGGTGGGAGACTGAGGACAGGCGGCCGGGAAAATAGCTGAGGGCGGTAGAAGATTAAGGAGTCTAAGCGAGGGGCAGAAAAGGCAGTGGGAAAACGGGAGGGGATGAAGAAAGAGTTTTGCACCCTGCAGGCTAGGGCACCTCTCCTAATTATAAAGACAGGTCTACATACTAAAATTTATTTCAGAAATCTATGCTGAGATACCCCTTAACCATATTAAATGCATATTCATCAGAAAATATAACTCCTCTGGTGAGATATTGAGCATGCGCTAACAGACTAACATAGCCAGATTGTGTACTGACTTGTAGGGCCTGTATGCAGCGGGACCTTACATGCAAGGTCTTTGTTCTATTTCTTAAGTGAGGTCTGCGGATGGTATGTTATCATATAAATCTATACTAGGATACCTGCTCCTCATTTTAAATGTATAATTTTTGCAAAATATTCTTCTTCTCATGAGATATTGCGCATGCTCGAGCACCGTTTCAAGCGCTCAGAACGGACCGAAGCAAACTGCATAATATAGCTTGCTGAGTGAGAGAGGGGTGGGGGACCGAGGACAGACGTACGGCAGGGAAGATAGCTGAGGGCGGTAGACGAAGAAGGAATCAATCTATCCGAGGGGCAGGAAAGGCGGTGGGAAAACGGGAGGGGATCCAGCAAGAGTTGTGCACCCTGCAAGCTAGGGCGCTCTCCTAATTATAAACACAGGTCTACATATAAAAATTTATTTCAGAAATCTATGCTGAGATACCCCCTAACCATATTAAATAAATATTCATCAGAAAATATAACTCCTCTGGTGAGATATTGCGCATGCGTTATCACACTAACGTAGCCAGATTGTGTACTGACTGGCATATGCAGCGGACACCATACATGCAAGCAGGCGCGTAGCCAGGATTTTATTTTTTTTGGGGGGGCGGCAATGTATGAGCACGTGAAGTGTGCGAATCAGGGGCCGGATTCATCAACGTTGCGTAAAGTGTATTGCGTACACCAAGTTTCTACGAAGTACGTACGCAAAGCTCGTAGGTGTGATTCATCAACGCAGCGTATAGCACCTGCGTACGCAAATGTTGATGAATTCCAGTGTAAATCCACTACGCCATCGTGGCTGCTGTCTGTTGACGGGCGTGCCTAGCATAAACCAATCACACTGTGCGACACATACCGATAGGAACCAAACTGACGCCTCTCTTGTATTTAAACCATATGGCTCGTCTAGCTCTGTCTACATGAGTGCTGGGGGATGTGATAGTGTCCACATTTTCGTTTGTAGGATTGCGTTCAACACTCATGAAAGCAGCGACACGTACACGTGCGTGCGTGCGTGTGTACGTACACGTGCGTGCGTGCGTACGTGCGTGGCGTGTTAACGTACACGTGCGTGCGTGCTGCATGTGGCACGTGCGTGCGTGTGTGTGCACCGTACACGTACGTATGCCGTGTGCACGTACAGCATGCGTGCGTGCGTGCGTTGTGTAACGTACATGGCGTGCTTGTTTACGTTGTGGCACGTACAACGTGCGTGCGTGTGGCACGTAACAGTGCGGTGCGTACGTGTGCACGTACAACGGCTAACTACCAACTTTCGCTTATAACTGAAAAACAATGCCAAAGCTATGACAAAAGAAGCGTCAAAGGCGCCACTGTCTGTGTAGTATGGTAATTATTTGTTTATTTCTACTTGAGTAGAATTTTTATGTTTTCTCAATAAAATAATGTATGCTGCGGTATGCCTGAAAACACCTGCGGAAATTTTCGAGTGTTTACGGCACCTCGTCAGCTCGTGGTAAAGTTACGCAAAGGTTTTACGTAAGATTTTTAGCTTGATGAATCAGCAGCAGCATAAAACAGGCTCGCTTGTCGTAGCGGCCGAAAAAATCGGTATCGCAAAATTTATACTAAATAACTGTGTGATGAATCGCAACTAAGCAAGCGTCCGATTGCGTAACACCAAGAAATTTTACGACGCAAAAATATTTATGCCGTAAGCAAGCTGATGAATCTACCCCCGGGGCGTATAATCGTAGCCCCGAGGGAATGGGGGGGGATGATCGGCGAATAGCCAGTCACATTACTAGCACGATCGTAAAAGCCCAACAATAATTTACGCACACGCGCAGGCGATCGCGCAACGGGCACGAAACATAACATAGACACGACACAGCACACCACACCACCACAACACAGCGCCGCCACACATGCACAAACACAGCGTACATTACATTATAGCAATGCATGACATACATGCAAGCACATGACCAAATTGAACAACGCGTACGTTTTTGGGCTACCTGCGCGGATCAGTTGGGGCAATCTTTTCGCGGTGATTGGGCTAGCCGTGCCAGTTGCGGATCTGGGTGGTTGTTTAACGTTTGGGTGCCGTAAGCATGGCAAGTGCTAGGGGGGTCTGGGGCATGCCCCCCAGAAATTTTGACCATTTAAGCCATTTTCCTAGCAATCTAGAGGCATACTGTGGGCCATATTCATCGATTGTCTGATGACAGCATTAGTATGCTCCTTTTTCTTTCTACGTCCTCGTTACTTTTCATGCTTCTCATCTCTCTCGTCTTTTTGGCCGGCGTTTTGGGGGGGGGCGCCAGCCGCCCCCCTGGCTACGCGCCTGCATGCAAGGTCTTCGTCCTATTTCGTAAGTGAGGTCTACGGATGGTATGTTATCATATAAATCTATATGATATATCGTCCTGCTCCTTATTTTAATTGTATAATTTTTGCAAACTATTATTTTTCTCATGAGATATTGCGCATGCGCGAGCACCGTTTCAGGCGCTCAGAACGGACTGAAGCAAACTGCATAATATAGCCGCTAAGTGAGAGAGGGATGTGAGACTGAGGACAAGCGGCAGGCAAAATAGCTGAGGGCGGTAGAAGATTAAAGAGTCTAAGCGAGGGGCAAGATAGGCAGTGGGAAAACGAAAGAGGATAAAGTAAGAGTTTTGCATCCTGCAGGCTAGGGCGCTCTCCTAATTATAAACACAGATCTACATATAAAAATTTATTTCAGAAATCTATACTGAGATACCCCCTGACCATATTAAATACATATTCATCAGAATATATAAGTCCTGTAGTGAGATATTGCGCATGCGCTAACACACTAACGTAGCCAGTTTGTGTACTCATTGGCATACGCAGCGGACACCTTACATGCAAGGTATTCGTACTATTTCTTAAGTGAGGTCTACGGATGGTATGTTATGATATAAAGCTATGCTGGGATACCTGCTCCTCACTTTAAATGTATAATTTTTGCAAAATATTATGCATCTCGGGAGATATTGCGCATGCGCGAGCACCGTTTCAGGCGTGAAGTATCATAATATATACGTCATTGCATGTGTACGTTAATTCATCTGCGTGGGACATACATTGTTACTTTTCTCAATCGTTGACACTTTGTTTTGTATGACAGCGATTTTTTGCCGGTTCTGTTTTGAGGATGAGTAAGGGAAGGTCACACAGGTGCATCGGTTGCTGATGCTTCCGTTTTAAACAGCTCATATCGCGAGTGCGCGCACCAAACCTTTATTTAAATCTGAAACATATTTCGTGGAAGCGCATTAATTGCTGACACCTAATGAAATCGACGAGATATAATTAACCGGGTAGTTATGTGTACTGACTTGAGCTCTCGTACGCACGCTCGCACGCACCCACATACGCCCGCGGACTTTCATTGTGACGTAACCAGCCAAAGAATGCGTGTTTCAGGGGCGTGTACAGGGGGGGGGTCCAGGGGGTCCGGACCCCTCTCCCTGCTCGCGCAGAAAACGCATCTAAGGGGGTCTAATTTCAAAAAATTTCTGGGGGAGGTCCCCCAGACCGCCCCTTCGCGTGCTCGCAAGTTTGGGTTACGGTTAGACCCCCACCTGGTACAAATCCTGTACACGCCCCTGGTTATAGACTCATGACTCGTGTATGTGTATATTCACTTTGCTTGTTTATTTTTTTACACATCCATGTTTATATCTACGCGCAAACATTCCGCCGGCAGGTGCATTTGTGTGATGTGTAAATATGCGTGTTTTATGAGAGCAGACAGGCACACACGTTCGTTCTTTCGTTCGTTCGTTCGTTCGTTCGTTCGTTCGTTCGTTCGTTCGTACGTTCGTTCGTTCGTTCGTTCTTTAACACGTTCGTTCATGTTTAACACGTTCATGCATCGTGTAAATAGGCACACATAGGCATCGTGTAAAATAACACAGACAACAAAGAGTCAATCTGTCCAAGAGCACGTGTGTGTGTGCGTGCATGCGTGCGTGCGTGTGTGCGTGCGTGCGTGCGTGCGTGTATGTGTGTGTGTGTGTGTGTGTGTGTGTGTGTGTGTGTG